TCTGCAACCGTGACTTAGCCAGCATGCCCAGCCACAGCCGACAATGCCAATACAGTCCTTGATCGGATCCGATTTCTCTCTGCCTTTCCACCCCTACTGCCTCCAAGTGAGTGAGGGCCCCTCACAAACAGACGGACATCTCTACCATCTCACTGTTCCTACCTCCACCTCCCTGGTCACTTTAGTATGTTTTCCTTTACTGTAAAAAAGTAATACCTGAGGGCAGAAGGCGTAGCTCAGCAATAGAGCACAGGCTTACCCAGACACGAGACCCTAGGTCTGGTTCCCAGCACTGCAGAATACATAAATAGAATGGCATTAGAATAAATAATACAGAAAAATCAGCAGTGTTTTGAAATTGATTTAAATTTAAATTGATTTAAAACCCAGAACAATTTACATAAATTGTTTTCAAAAATGCTCTTTCCTAGGGGATATAAAATCTGAAAAATCAATTAATTAAGAACTCTTAATTACTTTACCATCTCTTTGTACATATTTACATCCTAATGCTCTAATTCTGAGGGCAATTCCTAAGTTTCAAGTTGTTAAGTCTAAGGGAATTACCATATTTACTTGAAGTAAGTAGTACCAGCAACTGCAGCTAAACGAGGAAAAAAGCAGCAGGGCTTGTTTCACCTTTCTCTTAAAAACACCAAGTGAAAAGATATGTCCCACTGCTTACAGAGCAGAGTGGTGTACCTCGTCATTGCTCTTTACCACTTTAAAGAAGAAACAAAGCAAACAGAGGCACCTTCATAGGGCGTTATGGCTCTTCCCTCACAGATATAGGTTAGGCCCTTTCTCTTCTTTTATTTTTTGGATCTTCAGAAAGCATCTAAGCATCTAATGGCTACGGCTGTTCTTTCTTGAAGAATAATTTCATCTAAACATAATATTACATACACTTTAGCAATGCCTGAAATGGTACAGGTTCAGTTAGACGAGCTATATTGTCTCTGCTTCTTCCCCACCCAAGCCTCCCACAGCTGACGCATTCTGCCTACTGCCCCGCTGTTGAAACTGCCCCTGCTAGCTAGCTAGGTAGGTAAGTACATACTAGGTAAGTGTTTGACAAGGGTCTCGATACGTTGCTCAGCCTGGCCTTGAATTCCTAGGCTCAGGCAGTCCTCCTAATTCAGCTCAAGTAGCTGGAGCTATAACCATGCACTACTCTACGTGGCTTCTTGCTAGGTTTATAAGCAATTTCTTCTTTTCCAAATCCAGCGGGTACATTTTCACTATTTATTTACTTGACCTTTTCTGTAGCACCTCACATTGCATCTCTCTACCCTTAGGGATACTATGACCACAGCTCTTTTCTCTTTCCTTTTCAGTGTATTTTGCTGGGTTCTAGTCCTCAACCTCCTTTGGACATTTTAGAATTTTGGGGAGCTATGTCTCCTTCACTCTATCTTCTCTATATTTTTTGTCCTTGAGGGATTTTATGCACATTACATCAAGTATAACCTACACTGTAATAGTCTATAACATGGTCTAAAGTCCAGGTCTTTTTACTGAGCAATCTAAGGTAGTGAAGGACTCAGAAAAGTCTCATATTGAGAACTCATTGTGTAACCAAACTCTTCTGAAGACATATATATGTATGTACTTATGTATGTGTATGTGTGTGTGTGTGTGT